ACTGGCAAAAATACGACCTTAGATTTACTCAGATCTTGTATAAAATTCTACCGATTTTAAGGGAAATCATATATAGAACCCTTTTTTTGAAAAGCAAAAATTTTTTTACTTTTTTGCTTCTGACAAAGAGATAGCTAAACCTGATTGCCCTTAAAATCGGCAGTTTTGTTCAAAAAGCTGCTTCAATGTAAGTTTGTTCTTTTGCCTAATTTAATTGTTCTTTAATCATCAAGCTTTATTTCTTCTACAATTTCTTTCTACTAGAATATTTTTTACAATGTTTTTATCTTTGGTATTTGCTTCGGATTTGAAGTATGAAAATAAATGTTAAAGTAATGGAATTAAATTGCTTAATTAATTTTAATTTATTCTTTTTTTTTTCCTCGAATCCTAAAGATATTTCATTCAGTATCTTTTTTGTGTGTTTATTTTTAACTGAATCTGATCATGTTTCCCATAAAATTGAAATTTTAATAAAAATGAACGAATTGTTCGCATCTCTAATATTTAATTTCACCAATTAATAAGATAAAAAACATAATTAAAATTTTAGAAAATTCTGTTTCCTTCCTCCTTAAAATTTTTGATTATATTACTGTGTTTTACTAAGATTCATTTACATATAAAGTATCCCTTTAGGGATATTATATTTTTTCTGGGGCATGGAATATATTTAAATGTAAGGAAAATCGTCCACACATTTTTCTTTATTCCACAAATGCTCGCATATTCAATTATTTATTACTCCAAAGAAACACAGAAAATTCACTGCATAGAACTAATAACGAATTCTGTGTACTTTCTCCTCTGTCTAAATATTATTGGCAATTTAAAGACTTACAGAGGCATAAGAATGGACGAACTTCGTAACAGGAACTTATGCTCTTCGAATTAATCTTCAACGTTTAAATCTAACTTTTATATTTAAATGTACTTCGGTGAAGGAACTCCTGTGTTAGGAAAATCGTGCTATAAGAAAAGGTGTTTAGGATGGTTACAGCACATGATAGATTTTAATATTATAGAAGTTCATAAGACTAATTTCAGTTACCGCACTAAAGGAATATCTCGTTAATATTTTTGCTTCTCATTAAAATCATTCTAATTTAACCAGCCATATATTTTATAGAAAGTTATGAATAGCATAAAATAAAGTATATATAAACTAGAGAATTTAATTACAAAATTATATAGAATAGAATAGATAGAATATAGAATTAAATAGCGTTTCTAGACTATAGAAATAGATAGAATATAGAATTAAATAGCGTTTCTAGACTATAGAAATAGATAGAATATAGAATTAAATAGCGTTTCTAGACTATAGAAATAGATAGAATATAGAATTAAATAGCGTTTCCTCGTAAATACCTTTAATAGAATTACACTGAATTGCGTCACTCTTAATGTTGATTTTTAATGTATTCTTAATGTTGTTGTACAATACGTTTTACTATTCATACTCAGGAATTTCTCATAATTTAGTACATGAATGGCGTAATATGTATAAAATATACTGGTGCAGATCTTTATAAGATTCTTTTATATTCACACACTTATCACGTTGCACCATTTTTCTTTCGAGTTCTCAATTTGTATGCATTTAAAGATAGAGACTGATTTCAAAATTGAAAAATCACTATCACGATTTTCAAAAAGGTGAAGGAAACAGTTTCTAGTTTTGATCATACCCTTTTAATGACTTTATTAACAAAATATAAATCTTCAAAGGTTTCAGTTACAAAGATTAAGAATATCAGAAAAAATGTTGGAACAGAGTTAGGATAAAGTTTGTAATGATACAAAAGAAAAAAAATTCTTAGAAAAAAGCTTGTTAATAAACGGAAAAAGGAGTAAATTACTCTTTTCTTCCTCTTCATTTATTGACAAGTTTGTTGACCGCTGCACAGTATGGCAGTCTTTATTCTACCATGAGATATTTTGTTACTTATATAAACAAATTTTGTTACTTACATTAAGTTATATTGCTGTTAAAATACTTTACTTTCTTATTTATTTTATCCTTTTATTATCATCCTAATGAATGAACGTTAGGGAGACAAAAGTAAATAATCACACAAATTTAGATTATTAATTGTGTTTAAATGCAGTTCTACTTGAGCTTCTTAAAAAGCTTGCTATGTAGAGGTTATATTTAACGTATTATTTTAATACATTATGAAGAGTGGGAATTAAACTCTTTCCTTGCCAATTGTTAAAGTTTAAATTTTTTTAAGATACTGGCTGTTCTGTTAATAATGCATTAAATAGTGTTTCTTCGTAAGTATTTTGAATTACATTGGACTGCATCTCTCTTACGTTGAAGAAAGTTGGTAAGCAAAATTATCTTTGATATTAAAAAGAAAGAACTTTTGTACATTATTCTGCACTATTTAGGAATTTCTCATAATTTAGTTTATGAATAGTGTAACGTATATAAAATATATTGGTACAGATCTTTTTTAAATTCTTTTATATTCACACACCTACTGTGCTCCTTTTTTCTTTTGAGTTCCTCAATTTATGTCATGTCTATACCTTTTGTTTCAATAACAAATCTATTAGAACTATTTACTTCAAAATCATATCATCCTCCACTTAAAATCCCTTTACTATGCTTTCCAGGTATTCGCCAACATATTTGTATCTATGATATATTTGATTCAATTATCTGATAATAAATATGTCCCAAGTAAAAATGTAAAATTTCATTGATATTATTTAATAAATACTTCTATACCCATTTTACTAAGCAGAGTTGTTGTTTTATTTACTTAATTGCATATATGCAGGCTGTGACAAAATGCAAAACAAACTGCTTTTATTCTGTGGGAAAAGACTATCATAAAAGTAAATATATTGTCAAATGTCTGGTATATAATACAGTTTTGCTTCGATTTTAAACTAAGAAACTTATTAATATATTTTATTACAAGAACAACGGATATTTTACCGGAGGAAATAACGTCAAAATAGACTTTCTTTCCTTTCGCCAACGACGGAACAACTGGCCCACTGGGTTAGGTGCTTTTCAGCTTGTTGAATCCCGTCGATGGAATTAAAAATAAATAAATAAATAAATATAAATAAAGAACTTAGTACTGTGCTCTTCGGGAATTGATTACATTTAGAGCTTCCGGGAATTGGCCACGCTAAACGAGGAACATTGAAATAAGGACCAGAATATCGAAAGAAGGTGCATGGTGGGGACTGTTGAGACTAAGGGAAACACTTTTCACCATTATGGTACATGTTAGGCATAGAGGTATGTTAAGGATATGGTATAGACTCAGGTACAAATGTAAAGAGGAAATCTGAAGAAATACATTACAAATTATGAAATACATTAAACGAACTCTGGATTAATCATAATATTAAACATAATTAAAAACAAAATAAAAGATTTAAAAAAAAAGAAAAGAAAAAAATCTGAAAGAATTCAGATTTTAAATTACATCCAGAGGGGCGTTTTGTAACGTTTTCTGTGTTGCCTTTATTTATCATTAAATATCATGTTCTTTGCACTTAAACTATAAAATTCAGTTCAATAGAAATGCGAAAAATAATTTTAAAATGAGCGTATCTTTAGAATTTCCGATACATAGTTCCGCGCTCTGGAGATAAAAAGGTTTTTTTTTTTCCCGTACAGTGTTGCTATTGCTCGCTTTGAAATCCTTGAATTTGTTAATCAAAAATTCGTTAAAGGTTTACAAAATATGAAATCGATCATAAAACAAATTCCAAATTTCAAATTTGGTCTTCCATATGCCCATATCCGTAGGAGGACTACGTCATTCAAAATTCGATGGCTCTATGTACCGTTGTTTTATCACAATGCGAGAAATATATATACATTTATGCAGATTTTTCATTATTTAATTTCTTCAAATATAATGCAGGTCTCTAACATTTGGCAACAGTTTGAAAAGTGAAACGGACATTTATAGTGATTCAACGCAAAATCGCAAAACGAAAACAATAGGGACAAAGCGCCTTTGGATTAAGAAAGCCAGAAGACATTGATTAAATTAATATATATACAGAACGGGCTGCTGACAGCATGGTGTCTAAGGAAAGAAGTCACTCCAGGCTGTCAGCGATGCTTTTAACTATGGTACTGCAGTTTCTAATGCGGCTGAGCGCATATTTATTCTTGATTCAAAATAAGCAAGAAGATAAAATCAAGTGACACAAAACCTGATAGGCTTAAAATCCTTAAGCGAAACTGTCTTGAAATAACGCATGGACACCCACCTCTTTAGCATTATTATTACAATTCATTTTAACATTGTGTTGCCAGTACTAATTATAATTATCTCATTATGTTTATCTGTTTATTAATTATGTTTATCTCGTATTTTTGTAGCACCAAATCAGATGTTCAATTTATCATGTGAATCTCAAATTGTATTCCGACTATTTTGTAATCTACTTATGTCCTACATCAGTATTTTAATTAAATACTGGATGCAGGGCGTACTGTGGGATTGCACGATGTACCATAATAGGCAAATTCTAGACCTTTTGGAAAGCTTCAGTCTATGTAAATTCTATAAAACTTGCAATTCCCCCCTTTTTTTTAAGAGTTAGTATGGGAAGGCATTACCAGTTGACCTATGGTGCATCGCTGGGGCCCCCTTATACTTTTACCTTTACCTTTACCTGTCTTCAAAAAAAAAAAAAAAAAACACTTTTTCGTATAGTCATTGCTGAGTCTTTAAATTATATACAAACAGTCTTTAAGAGCTTTGTTATGAGTACTTAAGCAAAATAATTTTTTTTCGAGATAACAGAGCCTACAGGAATCATCTTTCGACAGTTAGATTCTATACCAATATTTTAGATTGATTACCTCCGAAATTGCTAACAGTCTTAGCAATCATACGTGAAAGATGTTACATTTTCTCTTGTAGCAAAAACAGAAGAAATAAAAAAGTATATTTTGATTGTAATAATTGTATTTGCTCTGTCCTAACCTCGAATTCATTTCTCTTTCGCAGACGGGAAGAAGATGCTGTTGCCAATTCTAGCTGTGATAGCAGTTCATCTCTGGGCACCCACAGGAGGCCGTAAGTAGATTCAGCCATGCGATTAATGTGAACATAGCGGGATGCCTGACACTTTGCACGACTCCACTCCCCAAACGCCTTTTTGTTTCCGCGCTGTAGAAAGTAGAACTCCTGCTCATGTCAATTAACGAGCTAGAAGGTGTTAGATACGTTATTTCAGTGAACTCGTCTTTTCCGGTATCGTTAACTTTAACCTTCTCAGACGTGCGATGAAAATGCAAGGTCGATTTTCTTTAAATCGCTTAAAAACTGATGTTTGGTGCATTTTCAAATTAAAAGAAAAAATAAAGGGTGATATCACACAGAATCCATTAAGGGAAAGAAATTCTGTTATCACACGTAATATGTTAATCGAAAAAAATTAAGAGGTTAATAGAAAATTCAGGTTAATGAAATCTTTCCGTTTTTCTTTTGCATAATTATGAATTCATAATAACTGTCATTGCAGACAACTACTTTTAATCTACGTTAAAAGAAAAAGGAGAGCTCTTGACGCATATATTAAGACATATCACATTTTGTGTAATGTATGATATTTTTGCCTAAATATGTTGGAAGCTGTTGTGTAAATGGTTAAAAAATCCAGCTAAAAATATACGATCAGCGGGCCGAATCCTGGAAAAAGCAAAATTAGATTTTGAGTTTCGTGCTTCGAAAATCCTAACATTTTCTACATATATGATTAAAATAATAACAAACCTTTGGGAAAAAAAAAGAAGTTTTCAGGTTTTACATTACGCCCAAAGATTCGTTTTTCTAACGTTTTGTGTGTTTGTGCGTTTATTTATTAAATATCATGTTCTTCGCGCTTAAACTATAAAATTCAATTCAACAGTAATATCACAAAATATTTGCAAGAGTATATCTTTAGAATTTCCGATACGCAGTCTCGCACACTGGAGGTAATTTATTTTTCGTACAGTGTTGCCATTGCTCGCTTTGAAATCGTTGAGTTTCTTAATAAAAACTTCATAAATGCTTTGTAAAATATGAAATAGATAATAAAACAAATTCCAAATTCGGAACTTAAGTTTCCATTCAAAATTTGATGGCTCTAGGTACAGTTGTTTTATCACAATGTGAGAAGCATACACACATTTATGCAGATTCTTCATAATCTAATTTCTTTAAATATAATATAGGACTCTAATATTTGATGGTATCAATTTAAAAAGTGATTCGCCATTTATAGTGAATCGACGCAAATTGTCAAAACGAAATTAATAGCCCTTCTGGGCTAACGCCCTTTAGGCTAATAATCTTCTAAGTAAAAAGCTTTTAAGGAGTATTAAGAAAGTTAATTATAAGTTATAGTACAATGTGCATTGTTGTCGGTTTATAAAATTATAATGCAAGGAATGAATATGATTGTGAATGAAAGTGATTGTATAAGTAGATTCCCAAAGTAAGAGTCATAAAACAAAAAACAATAAAACAAATAAAATCTTGTTTGAAAAAAAAACTTATTTTATTATTTCTATCCTCCAAAAAACAAATAAAATCCTATTTGAAAATTTATTATGATTGCATAAAGAGAACATAATTGTTAGGGTAATATTATGTACGCAAAAAAATTTAACTATGAAAATGAAATTAATATATTCCCTAAAAACCTGTAAATGGGATCTTATGTTTTATTCCTTCCTAGATCTTTTATACAGACTAAAATATGTACTGTACAAAAGAAGGTATTCTTTATACTCAAACTAATAAGGTAACCAACATCGTTAAGGACGTTTTTCAAAACGCTTGTTATATTTCTGAATTTATGATATTTTTTATTGGAGTGCACTCGCGCTTAAATATAATCACTCCAGAAGTGATAAGAAAGTCATTACTTTGTGATAATTATGGAAAAAACTGAAAATTTTAGATCGGAATTCACAAAAACCATTACTTACAAGAAATAATGATAGTAAAAACATATTTTTGACTTTATGTTATATATACTAACCATAAATGAAGTACAGTGAAGTAGTACAACTGAAAAATATTGATTCGACAAGTAATATACCGCCAAATATGCTAATCAACACTCAAAAGTTATTGAACGAAAATGACATAATTAGAATCTATAAGGCTAATTTTTTAACTCCTATTCTACATTATGCATAATAATGCGCAAAATCTGTGTGAAAAATTTCAGATGGCTCTATAAAGAACTCTTAAAGTTATCATGGTTGCTGTGAACATAAATCATAAAAACATAAAAATAATAATCAAAAATCGCATTTAAAGTTTTCAGATTAACGTTATGATATGACATGACTTTATTATGCCGTGATTAGCTGGCTCACTTGCTAGCTGTGTTCCGGCTCGGTTGAAGTAATTGTGCCTTAATGGCGCTGAAAGTAAAACACTCATGACATTAGAACATCATACATTAGAACATAACATCATACATGAAAACATTAAATCATACGTTAGAACATTACATCTTACATTAGAATATGAAAGTTTAAGTTTCAAGTCTTTCAAACATGTCTACAAGAAACAGCCCATGTTTTGGATAGTTGTTGTTTTTCGTCAGCTCAAGTTGTTGCTTTTCGTCTTACGATTTCAACTTTTTAATTGAGCAGCAAAATTAAGAAATTTGCTGATAAATCCTACAGATTTTGTCAGAATAGTGCCAATAGAAGATCGGTCACAGGAATGGCTTCGCTCACTGGGATTGGTGCAACCTTGTCATGTGATTTCTTAGAAGAATTTTTAACAGTTTCTTTAGCTCCCTCTGGGACTGGCTTATTTTCTGTAGATTTTGTGCGTAATTTAGGATAAAATTCGTAATTCTTTGAACTGGAAACGTGACTTTGTTTACAATGAACGCAAGTCGGTTTTTTTTTCCTTTTGGGAGATCACAAGTGTAGATCAAATGACTTTTTCCGCACTTCAAACGTCTAGACTCAGATTAACGTCACCTGATACACACACCTTATATACACAAATATTCACGTTGCTAAATGAAAGTGAAAGAATACATAATAAAAATACTTTGTCAGATTCTCCAGATATAGTAAAATACTCAAAATTATTAAATTAAAAAATAACATAAACAAGGGTGAAAATTGCATCTTTAATTTGCCCTTTAAACTTTGATTTCCTCAAACATGACAAAAAATAACTTCCGGTTTGTCGTCTGTTAGAAAAAGCGGTATATCTCCACTTCTAATCGGTTTGGTGTCTTTTCAGCCAGTGGAATTTTAGTCGCTTTGGAAAATCGGGAAAACAGTGCACTTGAGCTGAAATTTCTTCCTACTCCCACATAAATGGAAGATGAAGCAGGTTGCAAGTAAATAAACGCTCCCCCACTTAGTTAAGACCTCGCAACTTTGCCCGCCTTATTCCGGCGTTAACTTTTTCTTAAGTCCGATGCCTTTAACTAGCTCAAATTTGGCGACCATTCGAAAAATTAGCATACTAATTACTAGCACTAACTTCTACAGAGCAGACTACTTAACTTTTGATTTTTCCGTTCGATCGTATTTCAAACAACTGTTGTTAGACTGCTCTATAGAAGCCAAATTTAGCAAGTTATCGCCAAATGTGCAGTTGGGCATATGGATAACTTGGAGTAGAGAGGAAACTGTTTAGTCAAGCCACGGCTGATAGAGGTAGGGTTACTTGCACGTGCTCTTTGTCTCCCTGAGGGCCTGCTTTATTGCAGGCCACCAGAGAGTATCAAAGGCACTTTGAAGATCTAAAGAGATAAATGCAGTATGTAGATTGTTGATTCTGTTGTCATTTATATGTTTTCGAATGTGTTCTAGAGCATGGATGGTAGATGTGCCTGTCCTGAATCCATATTGATGTGGGCTAAGAAAGTTTTGTCGGTATAGATGGTGCTTCAGCCTGTTGACTAGCAGTTTTTCGTAGATCTTACCCAATGCAGATAACAGACATATGGGTCTAAAGGATCTTGGATCTTCCGGGGATTTGTGCTTTTTTAAAAACAGGACGACCTGTCCTTGTTTGAATGCAGTAGGGAAGATTTGACAATGTAGAAGCTTGTTAAACAGAACTTTAAAGTAAGTGGGTCGAGCGTTGAAGGCGACCTTGATTATTGCATAATCCAGGCCGTCAGGACCTGGTGCCTTTTTGACTGGAAGCTGTCGAAAGATTTGCTTGATCTCTTCCATTTCAAATGGTTCGTCGTCTGAAGTCTCTGGGATAGTGGTGTTTCCCCTTGTGTGCCTTTGCTCTGGCGTGTCATCGTCCGGATCGTCTGCTGGGAAGACTGTGTTTAAGGTTGTGGCTGCCGTGGATTCTGCTATGTTGGTGGTAATGGGTTGGTTGGCAATTTGGGCATAGAAAGCTAAGAGAACTAAGCAAAGAACAGTGGCAACAGGAGTGGGATAACTGTGATACAGGAAGAAGGACACACGGATTCTACCCAATAGTAGACAACGAACGTCTCCAGGCAATTGCACCCTTGACATACTATATCACGGGGCACGGCCCATTTCCATCCTATTTTCAAAGACATGCAATTTCGATGACAGATATATGCGTCTGCGGGGCAACTGGCTCCCCCGACCACTACATATTTGAATGCAGCCTTACATCCAACTTTACACCTACCACTCCCAGCCACAAATATAGAATCATATAAACGATTCATCATAAGCACCCATCAGCGGTCAAAAAGATCTGCCAAATAATTAGGCAGGTCAACGACCTAGGGCAAGATATCTGCCAACCAAACTAGCGTCAATTAAGGCGTCTCATAAAGCAACCACAGTCAGCTTTCACACCAAATCATCAACAGAATTCTGACAGTCTCTTATACTGACAATCAGCTGAATGCAACTTACAATATGTTTAAATTATGTGCTGCGCTTATAACATAACTGCACTGCAACATAACTGCAGACATAGCTGCTTACTGCGTACAGTACTCACTTACGGCGTATAGAGCAAACTACTGACTATGAACAGACTGCTACCTGCATTGTGTCTCTGTAGTAGTTACAACAACGACTGAAATATCTATAGAAGTATTT